AATAATAATAATAATAATTATTATTATTATTATCATTTCGGCATTACATGTAATTAACTTGGTCTAGCCTTGTAATCAAGAACCTGCCGATTACTATGCCTAATATTAATAACTAGCTCATTTTTACACTCATTTGGTGCTCTGCCATTTTGGCAGGTCTTATGGCATCCAGTATTTTAGAGCTGCCTATTCTCAGCTCTTCTCTTAATTTGAAAATAACTGTCATTCTGTTTCATTTGATCAGTGATGAAGAAAAACGTGCTTTTCCTTACACTTTGTGCTTTTCCCAGAAAACGTTTTTAGTAGGCCTAGGTAATTATGCAAAACCCAGGCCTAACTAAAAAATTAAAATTGTCATAATATGTAACTCAAGTTAAAATAACACTTTTCATTACTCGTGCAGCTTAATCAAATAATTATTATATGTCATTTTAAACGACCCATTGGTATTAACATGGTAACATCAATGTATTTTAAAAAATCAGACAGCTACGTTCTCTCAGAAGTTGGTTGTTCTGTAGACGTTTATCTGTTGATGACCTTTTGACCTCCTGAATTCTGCAATGAGATTTTCGGGTCGATTCAGCCGAGACGGCCCGAGTGGAGTTTCATGTAAATGTTTCGTACGGAAAAAAAAATCGCCCACCGTAGATTTAGCCAATCATAATACGCAAAGCATCGTTTCAATGGCGCCCTCAATGTAACAATGTTTTAAATACAGCTATGTTGATCTCGAGCGTTGCGGTGCAGAGTACACGATTTAGATTAAATCAGGTACTACACTAAACCTATTTTGGCTACCATAGTTTATAGTTCATTAATATTATTAAATAATGATTAATGAAATAATAGTTAGTCGGAGGGCTTATTTATGGTTATAACATGTATACGCATATGGTGGCTCTTGGCTCCATGCAAACAGTTCTTGTTCATTTAAGGTCATTTTAAAACTAAGGTATTTCATTAATGATCATTTTGGTGGCAATCCTTAATTTCAAAATGCCTACCACATACAAAAAACTACAATTATTAATATCTCAGCAAGTCATTCAAAATTAACCCCTCACCAAGTGTAAGGGAAATATCAATCAATCAACAAGGATTTGTATAGCGCCAGTATCTCCTAATGACTTCAAATTAAGAATTCTAATGTCTAAAACTATGTTTTTTTTTTATAGTCAAGAAATTATACCATTTGTTACATGGTCAGATTGTCATTAGATTCATAATAGTTCAGTCAAGGTCATTCAAGGCCATTTTATATTAAACACCATACGACATCCTCAGGCCCGTTCCGCAAGCTTTTAGCCCACTATCTAAATTAAATGGTAAACATTCAGACGCGAACCATCAGACCCGTAGGCCAAATATTTCACCTGAATTTCATGGTAAAATGATTGAATATAGTATTATTGTTTGAGTCTGAGTGCTTATATAAGTTAATAAACCACGTTCGTAGTTTTATACATGCAATGGATAGAAGACGAGATCAGAAGAATCATGTCAGCTTAATTCTTTTTAAATCAATTAAAAGATACCAATAATCATTAAAAAAAAAAAACAACAACAACAACAAACAAACTTCATATCATCTTTTTCTTCTTTTTTTTTACATTTGTAGTAGGAAATTAACCTTAAATCAAATCTTTGTTGATTAATTGATTGATTGGTATTTCTCTTCCTCTAGGCTGGGGATAATTTTGAATTAATTGAATTGAATTGAATTGAATACACATACATATTTACAACCATGTATGCTCAAATGACAGCAGTGCAAATATAGTATAAACATATAAATGTAAAAAAAAAATCATAAAAATACTGTACCGGTATGATGTACAGTAGATAATGAAGGGCTATACTATTTACATACGATATTTGATTACATGTTGGGTTACTATTTCAATTAACTGTCAGTGAATGATAATCTTAATATGATTTTGCAGTATATTGAGTTATAAAATAATTTTGATTTTGTGTATTATAGAGTGGGGTTACCGGCTTCAGCTGTCTTTACAATCTTTATATAACAGTCGAGTGTTTATATCCTGAACAATCCGTCAGCCAGCTACATAAATGAATAATATCAGCAGTTAATGTAGATTGGTATGTAACACTAGAGTGAGTATAATCATAATTAATTATACTTAATTATTTTTTTAAAACCAAAGTAGCAGTACAATGTTTACAATGTTTTCAGTGGCCTTTATGCGTTTAATCATGTTGCACGACTTGGTACTAGTACGTAACTCTTACGTTATTTTCTACTGTAATACTTACTGTTGCTGTTTACATTCATAATACCTTGTGTTATTAAAAATGCTGAAAATTTACATATATAATAATTATTTAACAAAAGCTGGAGTGCATATATGCATGATGATATTTTCATGTTAGTAGGCCTACTGCAGGCTTGCATTAAATATCATCAGCTAATGTAGAAAGCGTATGTACCACCAGAGTGAGTACGATGAATAATTATTTATATTTATTTTTATTTCTTATTTATCTGAAAGCCAAACACATTAAAATAAACAAAACTAAGACTTCCAAGTTGTCATACCCGAAGTACAGATGTTTTGACAGTAGTCTTTATATAGCATGATTTTGAGTAAAATTTGAAGGCATTTGTTTTTCTAAGGGTCTTCGTTTGTAACGCGATTTGGCTGAAATTGCAGTAGATAGAAGAGAATTCTTGGGAATTTAAATTATGAATAGCTCTTACAAAAAATATGATCGAAAAATACGTTTGTATTTTTGTTTAAATATCTTACCATTGGAATGGGTTTCTTATGAAAGCGTGCCCATCATTGGTCTGAGTGCAAATCACCTCTATATTCCACATATGTATTACAAACAATCACAGACTGGAATGGTAAGCCTTATGAATACCAAATCCTATGGTAAAACGAAAACATTTATGGAAAATTGATATATTTTGGTATCAGTCACAGACTCCACCTGCCTAAAATGTAATGGATGGGACTCTAGGGTTTTCTACTATGGACATATCTTATCTGGGAGGCTAACCAAAATGGTACGACAGAAAACTTTATCATTGAAAGTTCAGTTAGATACTGTATTCATCACAAAAACTATGAAAAGTCCTTATGCATGCCTTTGAAGTCTCATTTTATTGTCCAATGTCTGTTTCAGTAGAAAATAAGTTTACAAAAAAACTGGGTTCTACTGACCGGCTAGTTGGGCCTTCTACGATTTATAATCAAATGTGTTTAACCAAGAAGTGGTTTGTGTCGTAATAGGCCAAACCAATATCATGAACGTATTCTTGTACAATTTAACAACTTGTATTGTGATTTTTTAATTAACCAATTAATATATTTAACTTGCCCTATTTGTTAATTTTCCGTATCTAACATTTTTTTAAATCAAAATGTTTAACGATTACCGTATATTCTAATGTATGAGGAGTATCACCACCTGTCTTTAAGCCGCACCCTTATTTTGAACGCAGAATATCGTGTTTTTGTGTCACTTGTGACTAGCCTCTCCTATTTTTAACTGTTTTCAAAATGTTAGGTTTTTAAATAGAAACATTGACAATTATTTCAAATATTATAATAAAGAAATTCGAACTTTATCGACCGATTATTAAACAACAAACAACTGGAAATGCTTTATCCTAATCGGGCTAACGGAGCAACATATTAACTAGGAAAATCCCCATTTCTAGCATAACACGGCAGTATATTTAAATTATTATTTAAACCAAAAAATGAAAAATTTGAATGAAAAATTTGAACATTGACAATAATTTCAAATATTATAATAAAAAATTCGAACTGTATCGACCGATTATTAAACAACAAACAACTGGAAATGCTTTATCCTAATCGGGCTAACTCACAACGGAGCAACATATTAACTAGGAAAATCCCAATTTCTAGCATAACACGGCAGTATATTTAAATTATTATTTAAACCAAAAAATGAAAAATTTGAATGGTAAAAATGACATTGGCAGTTTCGCTGTTTTTATTTTTACACGAACAGCTTCTTCATGAGAATAAGTAAATACTCTATCTCATCATTACTACAAACCAGATGAACGTCTAAAATCAACTTCAAGAAAACTCTTTTTATTGTAGTACACTTTAATCTCATGTTTATTTTGAAATTACTACACTGCATAGCGGTGTCATTCTTTCTATAAAGGTACTAGCCTCTCGGCAACCAGACGCTGTACAGTGAGTTTCAACTACGTGGATTTCGACGATGTTGGTAACACAACATCACCAACAATGAATAAATGAATGATGTTGGTGTTGTGTCACGCGACTTCGAGGACCGAAAAAAAAATGTTTGCTTTTTTTTTAGCAAGCGGGTTCAAACAGCAACAAGGTGTTTCAGACATTGTTTATGAATGAACGCAATATGAAAATAATTATTTAAAGAACACAATCCATTCCTTGAATATTGGGAATAGTAGGAATCCCAGTACAGCACTATAGTGATTATAATTACAAATACTAGGCCAGCAAACCTAGGCTAATTAATTAGGCTAGCCTTTGCAATAAAAATAATTTGGATTGGATTGGATTTATTCGGTGTAAACACCAAGGACAGCCCACGAAAGTCTAGAAGAAGACTTATTTCCAGTGGGGTCCTTCTGGTGGTGATTGGACAGTACACCGGGAGACAATCCCCTACTCTTTTCCGAAGAGTGTACTGAGTTCTTTAACGTGCACATGGGCCATAAATGCACACGGGACCATCCGAAAGACGGTGCGCTATTGTAACTTGTAGCTGAAACACAAGGAGAGGCAGCGATGGGAATTGAACCTGGGACGCAGATCTCCACGGTTCAGCGCACACACATTGGCTACCACCAGATTAGTCGACTGAGCTAAGCTACTCTCCCAATTCACTCAGCTTTGCTTTGTACCAATGCTTTTATTTTGTCATGAATGGAAATAAACTGCTTGATATATGCATAATTATTAGGCCTACTGTACGGTACCAAGCTGCCAGTACTGCAACTTCTAGTAATAGTGAAATCAGTGAGAAAAGTAGATTTCAAATACATTGGAAGAAGTATGATTCTTTGTACGCCGCCAATTTAGGAACAGGGACGTAGCCAGGATTTGAACGGGGGTGGGAGCCGTTATGAGATGTACGCAGGACCAGGTACGGGGGTGGGGAAATGTCCAGGGGCGAAGCCCTCTGGAAAGTAGCGCGCTCTGAAAGTTGTAATGGATGCTCTGAGATGATAAAGTGAAAATTGCAATAAACGCATACCAACGTCAGTCCCGCCATCGTTGGGGCTGAGGTGCGAAAATTTTAGGAAATAGTACCTCTAGATGACCAGAAAATGACATTTTTAGTAAAATTCATCATCATCATCATCATCATCATTACATCACCATTATTATATATACTCAAAATGAAGCGGGGGGGGGGGGGGGGGAATTTTCCTGCTCCTGTTTGTACCACCACTGTATTCGGTGTAGTCACTGCATCATCTAAATCTTTTATTAAATATTAAACTAACATTTATTTTGTTGCAGCCTAATACTAAACACTGCTCATATTTTAGTTACAGAATATTGCAACTAACGTCAGTTACATACCCACCACACTATCGGAGGATGTGTAAGCAAAAGTCTAATATTCTTTCCGGTGGTGGAATAGCATCATGGAAACAGAATTTGTCGTTATTGATATTTTTACTATTGTCATTTTATTCACCAGTCACAAGTCAAACTAAAGGTACTTGTAATATATAAATAATTTATAATACACACAAACACACACAAG